GGAAATCAACAGAAATCTTATGAATCACAAAGCTATTATTCGCTATAACTACGGTTTTCCTCATTAAAAGCGAGTTATGCTGCCGTAGACTTAACATTGTACCAACCAAGTACATTCGATTTCTTCGTTAAATCCGGGTTCTCGTTAAATCAAAGCTGGTTATAAGCGAGTTGTACTGTATTATATGCCTTGGCAGAATAAACATTTGCACTCTGCTTAGTAACGAGAATGTTATTTTTATAAGCAGAATGTCACGATATATCTTGCAATAATACAATTATACTGGATTACGTCTGGAAGTTTTTACCAGTCGTTTTAGAAAAATTAAGTAAGAAAGAAGCTTTATGGTATGTAATTTTATATAAAATTCGGGAATTATATATGGTCGTATTTTATAAATGAGTTAAAGCCCCAGGCTGTGCTTTTTAACTTACCTTCAGTTGATGATGTAGGTTACGTTACGTAACATCCCCGGAGGCTCTTGGAGAGCGACGAAGTAAGACGTGTAGAAGAAATGAGATGTCGTAGTCTTGGGAGATGAAAATCAAATCGAACAGAAATTGCTCTATACCGTAGATTGTAGATCATAATTTTCTTCGGGAACTATTACTTAGGGCTTTTATCTTCAAATGAGGGGATTTTAGTACATTGGCGTCAGTTTTAAAATAATAAACATATATGCTCCCTTATATATCGTTGTTCCAGCAAGATGACAATTAGGAGGATATTTTGAGATTCCAGTATTAACAAGAGGTCTAAAAAGATTTTTTGAACTACAGCACCAGGAAGAGTTCTTAAAATTGTGATTGGTCGTTACATTAGAGGCAATGAAATAACAGAAAATACATGATACAAAGAAAATCAATACTGGATTAAATAAACTAACTTCAAGTACAATATACAATATATACAGCGAAATAGGCAGTATTCTCGTTAATAGTCCTTTGGATGCTTATAAGAATGCCCAAAGACATAATCACTTTTGGACCTTTCTTTTAAAAGATGCAGTAACTGACATATACAGATTCAAATGAAACTGCATTATGATAAGTTGCTTATGAAGTGTTTTCTAAATACGTGTTCTAGTTCCTAATTACGAGTCCCACCCCAATTTAGCGCTAAGCATTGATTCTTTGAAAAGACATTTCGAGTATTTTAAATAGCAATATTTATTGGAAACGGAAATTCGAGCACTTTGCCGATTTAATTTGTTGATTTCAAATATGCATTAGTTTTCCCTGTTGTGTCACGTTTTGAAGATGAAAGAAATTACATAAACATACATATTTATATATATATGCAAAAAAAAGTAACTTTAGATTGTACTTTAAATTAACTTTTAATTCCCTTTTTTTTTAACGCGTCATATCTAGATATTAATTCTGTAACCACCGCATTGCGCATAATTCCTAGGCCAATCAGATTAAAGCACAACTTTAAATATAAATAGCTACTAACTGCAAGCTTCCATAAGCCACAAATATGCCATTATCGCCTGCTATGCAGACGACACTGCCATTTTCAGCAAATCCATCAACTCTCAAAGAGCTGTTCAAAACTTAAACAAAATGCAATCGATTTACATTTTCCTATGGCTCAGTGAATGGAAAATCAAAATTAACGAAAGCAAATCAACTACAGTTTATTTTCAACAGAACCCTAGAAGACATCTCAATAGTATTATCATTAATAACATCCCTATTCCCGATGAAAAATGTATCAAGTATTCAGGAGTTTATCTCGACCGAAAACTCACATTCAAAGATCACGTTGAAAATACATGCAAAAAAAGATAATCAAGCAATAGGAAGTATTTATGCGCTTATAGGAAAAAATTCTAAACTTAGTCTAGCAACAAAAAGAATAATTTATCTTCAGACAATACGTCCCATTCTTTATGCATCTCTAGCTTGGGTCTGCTACTGCAAGACCTCACCGCACAAAAATTCAAAAGATTTAAAACAAGGCAATTCGTATAATTACAAAAGCACCCTGGTTTGTGCGGAATAGCACCTTACACAACGCCTTGAAAATCAGACTAACATATGCAGAAATTTTAAAATTATCTCATAACTTCTTTACGAAGTGCGACAATCATCCTGAAAATATTATTAAAAAACTCGGAAATTATGACTACACAGTAGAACAACGCCACAGAAGACCCCGAACTATTCACCACAATAGTCGGGGGTAATTGTAGATATATTTTCGTTCTTTACTTATTTAGCCAAGTTTTATTTTATTATTATTATTACTTTTCATCTTACTGCATTACTTTAACAAAGCGCTATGGACTTTGTCCCTGCCAAAGCAGGTATAGACTTTGGTGTGTATATAGTTTTATTCTTGTGAACCGTTTTCTACTGTGACAAACTATGCTATTTCATCATATAATCATTTGCCAATAATTGCTTATCCAAAAAAATAGTATGAAAATTTTTTCAAAAATGCCTCACAGTGCAACCTAGAAGAGATGACGCCACCGGAGCACCCTACTAAGAAGCTTTTCATTTTCAAAAATAGATGGAGCCATATGAGCACCTTCGCATCTTTCTAAGTTTACTTATCTCTCAACAGATGGCGGCACTGGAGCCTCCATTAAAAATCTTGAATTCTAGCACAGTATGTGTACAAGTACTTTCCATTCTAGTGGATTCAGCTCCCTTGATCGTCAAGATTTAAAAAAAGTCATGAATAATACTATATTGGTAAAGGCCGCAATAGGCCGATTGCCTCTTACCCGAAGTTAAGACATAGACATAGACATAGCTTGCATAAATTTATCTTAAGGTACACACCTTTATGGTGGACCTATTTGATGAGCCCTTATGTGTGAGGACCCTCGTGGGATTCCATGATAAGCTCTGGTAAGAGCGCAATTAATTCCCGCTGTAAACGAGAATATACAACCAAAGCATCAAAGCATCTTGCATAAAAATGCAAGCTAGGCAACGAAACTAGGAACTAGTAGTATCTCTCTTTAGCCACTGGCCATGCCTGCTGACAAGTGTCGCTTGGTCTCTGTTAGCTTCTAATATGCAATGGCATATCTTTAATTATGGAGCGCGTTTAGCATTCCTAGTCGTCTACCACTATAGATATAAGTTGTAAAGTTCTGTAAATGTTTGTATTTCTTTGATTGTAATTTGGTTTTTGATGTATTTCGTTAATGTTATATATTGTTTTTATTTATTTGCTAATTTAGTTAATACATTTTGTATTGTAATTTTATTATTCATTTTTATTTAACCTAATTAGTCATGTATTGCGTTTATTATGTGTATTATGTTGTTGACTTATTAATTCTCAACCGATCGACGCTTGAGTGGTAAAGATAGCTCATTTAAACCGGAGATAATGAGAAAAAATTCTCCCAAGGCCTTCGTCGACATCTAGCTATTTCTCTCAAATTTGGAAGCATCATGGAATTTTTCCAAATGTGCATGTAAATTTTCTTGAAGTTTCCAGAAATACTCTGGCAACATTATATGTATATGCATATATATGGGCTGCATTGGAGTCAAGAACAAATTCTACTTTTCAGTTCATAGTCATAGGGAAAAAAACTTGTAAGAGCTGACGCTTCAAGCTGATTGGTTACCTATGCGATCTTTCGCAAGAGGGTGTAGTCATTATTATTGTAATAGAAAATTCACATAAATTTTTAATTAATTTAAATTTAAAGCATTTTAAAGCATAAAAGTCCTTTCACAACTGCTAAACAAAGCCGTAACTAGTTAAGAAAGGTAAAGCTGCACATGCTTAAAAGACTATACCGAATAAAGATACCACAAGAACTCCTAAATAATTTCTCTTTAGCTATACCGTGTAGAAGGTCTATTACTCAAGCTTTGTTCACATGTTGGTTTTGAAATCATAAGGGGTCTAAGACGGACTTCGTTTCTAGGCAACAAACATCGGTCGACGGTTTATCTGAGTCAGTCACTCAGTTGCGCATGCGCAACTCTCCCTTCCCTCATTGGCTATAGCTTAAACCCTGCTAAACTGGTGTGAATGGACTTATATTTTTACGCCTTAAACCAAAGAACTTTATGACAATAACGCAGTCGTCCGAACGAAGCTTAAGACTCCGTTCAAAGGGTGGTATAAATGTCATAGAGGCATAGCCATAAAGCATAAAATTAGGGAATTCCGTTCACTCCTGCGAGGCGGAGTCTAAGGCGCAACCAATTAAAGAAGCTAAATTTGGGCACGCGTTAAATGTGTCTACAGTTTTCCTGCTCAATAGCTCAATAGGTTTCGCGTGTTCCCTCTGACTGGTCGATTCTTTCCCCAAGTCGACATAGAGTTAAAAACTTCGAACTTTATGCCAAAACGCCTAAACCAGTTTTTGTGACGTGGTAAGGTTTTGTTATCTAGCAACGAAGCTCAGCTTAAACCAGTTATGACATTTTTACCAACCTATGGACGAAGCCTAAAGGGCCATTCACACCAAAGTTAGCTTTGATTCACACTAGGATTTATCTGAGCTAACGCAGTGAGTTCCATATGTCGACTGTATCCGCTACACGAAGTTCAGGTTTTTCAGCTCGCTCCGCTATGAGAAAAAAACAGGTTTTAGAGTTGCGTCGGCTGTGCCAGATGTCTCCGTTAGCTCAGGGAATCTCCAGTGTGAACGGCTCTTAGTTCTATAAAAATCATTTATCCCATAAGATAAACTTTTTTTTGTTTAATTTTGTATTTTAATCAACATATAATCTCATTAACTTACTTCTGTAAAACTGGCAATTGCACATCACTCTACTTGCCTTTCATATCTGAACTTATCATTCTCTTGGTCATAAGTAATATTTGCTTTCTTTACCTAGAGATTTATTTGCTAATTTTGTTGAGCAATATATTTGTATTTTGAATTCGAACTTTGCAATACCGGATTACCGAAGGAAAGAACTGTAAAAAAGCGCTATTTTGCTTTCGAGACTATTGTTTTTCATTATCCTTTCTGTGGCTACAACAATGTTAAGTGAAGCACACAAGGAGTAACTTGATAACCTTTATTTGCTTCTACATTCGTAGAGAAGTCTAATCCTTTGAGCATCTGATTCGGACATTCCTTTCTTATCAGCATTTGCTGGTAAGTATCTGCCATCTTTTGCAACGATTGTCTTCAGATTCCAGTCTTTGGAAAAAGCCGTCTCACCATACAGCATGATAGAATTATAATCGAAAGGTGTCAGAAGTCGATTCTGCGTAGGTAATAGCTTCCTGAAGGCATAATACCACTCTGTAAAAAGGAATTAAAAACATTGTGACGAATTTGTTAGCTTAAATAATAAGGGAAATTTGAATGAAAGAATCAATGAATAACTTAATTTATTGAGATTAAAAGTCTTTAATCAACCGAACACAAACTATTGAGCAGCTCTTGTTATGATGATGATCATCCTTTAGAATTTATCGGAAAAATCTCTGCAAGAATTTTCAGAAATGAAGTTTTATGCTGGCGTCATAAATGGGTATAATTTTACATCTTTCATTGAAGCTACTGTTAGATGGAAACTTCCCCTTTTTACGTAGGTTACAGAAGCTAATTTTTATGCATTATAGAAATTTAGTTCTAGCCACTATTCAGTTACCAAAGAATTGGAAAGCAAATCGACAATCTGCAAGTAGCAAATTTTAAATCTCCGTATTAGGCCAAATTTATTTAATTCTTATTTCATTGCGTGAACACATGGGTAATATATGTCACAGCCCTCAGGAAAAGCTCAAGGGCCGTTTCCACTGGGGTTTATGAGCTAACGGAATCAGTTCCATGTGTCGACTAGCTCCGCTATGCTGAAATTCAGAGTTTTCAACTTGATGCCGTATGGGAAAAAACTGGTTTTGGAGATGGTTCAGCTACGTCAGTTATGTTCGTTGCTCAGATAAATCCCAGTGGGAACATCCCTTTAAGCGATAATCGCAATTATACTACTGACGTCATTTTCAATTTGCATTGAGAGGGCGGTTAATAAATAAATAGAATAATCCGAAATTGATTTTCACATCTTTAATGTTCAGTGATATTCTTTCGTGATTTACTTTTAGTATCTTTGTTTATAATTTTTTTTTTAAATTTGGTATATCGAAAGAAGTTTCAAACAGATAATTTTTAAATTCTAATTTAAAAATTTTTAACGTCTAAAAATATATCATTAATATTCTTATGAATCTATATTATTTAAAAATCATAATCTATTAATCGAACAAAATTCATAAGCTATAAATATTTTTCATTCTAATCAATGCAAATAATATTATGAACTGACTACTTGCCAATACTAAAACCTACAAGTGTTTTCTAGGAAAAAAAAAAAAAAATTCTGTGAATAAGATTTTCATTAAAAAAAACTATATTGATCAATTTTTTTCCACAATAATCTACATAAAAGTGCTTAGCCTTAATCTCTTAACATCAGAAACGTTTTCCTAAATTGATATTTTACTTTTAGTTGTGCACCAATGCAAAAATTTCGCTCTTCAATTTGTATACGGTCCTCGAATATGACACTGATTTTTAATATCAACTATCTTGAAGAATTTTTTGTTGTACGGAAGCCAAACTTTTCGCGTTTTATTTCATTCTATATTATAAGAAGTAAAAACTTTTCCGAAACATATATATATCGGGACCTAGAGAACGTATAAAAAGTTAGAATTCGTAATTTTCACAAAATAGATTGCCTTAAAAATGCCAAAATATGAATATTCGCATCATTTAATATACTTTTGTAACTGAAATACAACGACCAATAGTTGCGAAAATAAAGACTGGTTAACCCTTTGTTGCATCATGTCCACTCTAGTAGACAAAAGTTTAAATTTGTTTGTTCTTCTGTAAATGCCTTAACAGATTCCATTCCTGTGTTTATTCATTCTATATTATTAGAACTTTCAACTGTCGATCATAGATGGTGTATAGCATCACTAAGTAAAGCATTGCTATTTGGAAAATGGCTGCTACTTCTGTTTCCAAGTTAGTACAATTTCTCATAGTAAACATTATATAATATTGCTTACATTTTCTTATACTACCATTTTTTATTCATAATTAGTAATTTTAGACTTTTTATTTTGAATGTCAGTTTAAGAAAATTGTAGAGTGAGTAGATAAAGATCTACCGAAAAGAGTGAATTGAAAGCCAAGTGTACTGCTTATCAATCCAAAACACCACTGGAAATGTTTACGTTTGGCAAGGAATTTCTAGAACATTTGACATTTGAATCCAATAGGTACAGGTTACAAAATCGCAGCAAAATGAATTCAATCACAATCTACGAAATGAATGTATTTTGGGGGATCTGTATGTACATGTAAGCAGTAGATTTACCATTTAGAAGATGGTAATGATCACTGCAATCAAGGCAGGAAATGATTTCAAATGCAATGACCGTAAATTCGTTGGGAAAAGATTTGTATGCATGTACGTATATGCATGCTGTCCACTGTAGCGAACAAACTGTAGCAATTATTTAAAACGAAATTTGAATAAAATAAAATTTTTTTATTATTACTAAGGTTATTTTAAGTAGAAAAATACAAACATTTTCGTTTAATTTCTTTAGATTATTTGTATGCAACAAAGGGTTAAAGACATCTGGGAATGCAGTATATATGTAACATACTTGTTGAACTTTGATAGCTTAGTTTGATCTCCCTTCCCCATTAGCAAGCATAGAAGGTTAAAAAAATAAACAATTACATTTGCATTCTGGATTCCATTTTGATGGAGCATGTTGTTGACTAAACGCTTTCATGGCTTTTCGTATGTGTGAAGCAAATACCAAGGAGTTTAGAATAGAACACAATATTCTGAGTTTGCTCTGCTATCTGAAAATGAAACCTGCCTGATAAGTAGCAGCCCTGTTTATGAGATTAAAACAGTGTTCTGCACTCTACAGCAATGAAACGTACTTCTTTCTAGCATGTTCCATGCATGTATTTTTGAGCAGAAATGTATTAAAATTTACGATGAAATTCGGCGTATTGCTAAAATTTGTTTTAAAGTAATGAACAAGATATCTATAACTTACCACATACAAGAAATTACCAAGAACTAATATGAAATCTAAATGCATGCGTATAGCATTAAAGCCGAAAGTCTTTAAAACGATATTTATATATATTTTAAGTCTTATGTAGGTTCTGTTAGTTATGGGTTTTCCAAATTAACTTTAAAAAGAAATATTTCTGATTTATTCTCAGCATTATCGTAATTTAACGAAGAATCATTTCATATAAAAATATTTCTGGAATAGGAGAGTTCTCATAATTCAGTATGTTTTATAGTTCAGTTTTTAAGCTGTAATATATTAAATGAAAATTCATATATTTTTTAATATTTATATAATCTCATATAAGCAACGTACTATCAATAAGTCATAAATATAAAACTAAATAAAATAAATTATGCAACTTTAATGATTTATTTTATACTTGTTTCATATTTATGAATCGAGATTAAAGAAATTAACTTGAATTCAAGCTCAGCTGAAGAAATCAAAAACAAAAATGTTTAGATATGGCCTTCCAAGTGTTCAATTATGATTAAATATTTTAGTAATTTTTATCACAATACTGAATAAACATTTATAAATTTTAAGAGTAGACACATTTTATACAAACAATAAAAAAAAAAAAAAAAGTTTATCTTGAACAAATGCACAAATAACATTTATAAAAGTTTAAAATGCATAAAAATGCGTAATAAAAAATATATAGGGGGTGGAGTACTTTATTTAACATTTTTACAATTCTTAAAAATAGTAAAAATCAATTTCTTACTTTTCATGGAGATTATCAGAAAAATTATTTAAAGCGATCGGATAACATTGTTTAAATCCTAGCATATATCATTGCTTGTTAAGGATCAACAATATCAGCTTCAAGCAGAAACAAGAAAATGTGATTAATATAATTTGATTGCTATTAAGCCCTTTTTGTTTAATTGCATCTGAGTAGAAAAATTATGACAACGAGATGTTTCTCATGTTTACTAAATTACAAGAAAAAACTAATATTGGAGAGTGAAAAGTAATTTTAGGAATCTTATTTAATGTTCTGTTCGTATATCCCTATGCAACAGAAGATCTCATGTTTCAAAAATGAAAATTAAAAAAATTACTGTAGTTTATTTTTCAGAGACAACAACTTTATGAGTATTCGTTGGCACTTAAATAAAATATTAAAATAGAATACAGAAATATTTTTCATCGACGGGTTACATTTAATAACTAGTTTTACTGAAGCTTCATATCTTGGATATACGTACTATTTTAACTTTTTAGCGCAGAAATTCCTCTATTTCTTCTAAGCTTTAACAGATGGCACCACTCACAAGTATATGTTGTAACCAATCTCATTTCACATGCTCATAAATCTTTCTTCATCATAAATCTATCTTCACTTTCATTTCTGAATCATAACTTTTTATTTCTGAATAGCATTCTACTGCCATTTTGAATTAATTAAAAAATGGTAATGATAAAATAACAATTATGAAAATAATTCCTCTGAACAGAATGTGCTAGTATACTTTACTGACGCTGAATGTTTTAATTATAGAATGCTTCTGACATAAAAGTTTGTCATATGAAATTAGTTTTACGAATACTTTTAAGATCTACCATATGGCAACACTCGATTCTTCCATACTCTTTTATAATTTGCTTCTACCATAAAGCAGCAACAACTAATTACAGATATTCTTAAATTATGGATGTAATCAAACTGGGCTGTACACTCTGCTTTATTAAATATTTGTATCGTATCATTAAATGACGTTTGTTTTATTCTTATATTATATTATGTATTAATTTCTGCTGACTTCTACGCCTCATCTTTATAAATGCATTAACTCAGCGTTTCTCAAATATTTTAATAGTGGCAGCCACGTTTATAAACTAGAATGTTTTGTAGGCCGTCGTACTCTTATCTTCGAAAGAAATTATTTTAGCGTATGTTCCAACCGGTTTTGAAAATAAAATGATTAAAATACATTTGATCTTGTATTGGTGTTAAGTTAATATAAGAAAATATATATATATAAAAATTTAATAATTCATGGCTATTCGAGTTTGAATCAATTTTACCTATAGTTAAATAAAAATTAATTTTTGTACTTATATTAATAAGCTAGATGAGTCGCCCGATTCTTGCACAGCTTTTCTATGTTTGGATGTGTGTTAGTAAGCTTAAACTGAGCCCGGCACACACATCAAGTAGATTTCGGTATTTTGTTTTAAACTCAGATGCATAGAAACAAACTAGGTTACAATTTTTCATCATGGTGGGTACAAAACATCATGGTGCAGTTCGCTATATCCTATTTTTGTTGGTAATGAAGTCTGTAAACTAATCTTCTGCTGGAATTTAATTTTAAATATTGTGTCATTCGAGAAATCAATCAACTATTCTTTTGTGCTCAATGACAGTCTGATATTTTCAAACGCAATAGTATGGATCACAGATGCATAAAAATTAGTAATAGTTACCATTTGAGAAATACGTTTCAAATTGTAACTTCGGAGGTTTTAGATGTGAATATGTGTTATCACACAATACTTTTTCAATCACAACATTCTTTTTTACTAAAACGGATTTTAATATTGGAAACAGGGAAAAAATTTTATATTTTATTCAATTAACCCATAAACTAAGATTCCTCTTTGTTTTCTGATGGCCACTGAGAACAGTAAGTCACTGAATTTTGCGAATACACATTAAAGCTACTCCGACGTACCACATGGTTGTACTTGTGTACCACATGGACCAGTGTGTCACATGGATATATGGTTAAGTTGGGGCCTCACCTTAGCCACATGTCATCAGCAAGAAACGATATATAAAAATCTTCGTCGATTTCGGTAAAAAACAGCAGAATTTTTTGTCTTAATTCAAAGAGCCTTGTTGAGTATTTTACCCCGTGAAAGAATCACGGAATGAAGACGAAGCTTTTTTTTCTCCGCACTTATGTCATCACAAAATAATAATAATATTCTGCTTGTCAGTGGCTTTCCTTTAATGATTACCTTAGATCTTCTAATACAGTTCTGATTAGATGGTATAGTTTTGACCACCAAGCTTCTTTGTGAATGAAACAATGTATCCAGTTAACATGCGGTGCCCCAACTATAGCTGCAATGCCACTATGCCTACCGACAAGCACAGAACCCTTTGCGAACAGAAGGCTAAACGTTTTTTTCTAATCAATGTCATGCTACATACGAGTTCGCAGAGTCTTTCAGAATAACACATTTTTATGAATGTCATTGCTAACTCATATATGACATAGACAAATCAACTGCACATCACATTCGAAATGTCTGTTATCTCGTCTATCTAAAATAATTAAAATATACTTTCCGTGTCATGCCATTTCAGTTTAGCGGGTTTCATTTACACGTCTGAAAGAACTTCATAGCATACAATGCAAGTTTTGGCACTCTCATTGTCACACTAAGTAAGTTCAAACCCAAAATAACCGTAGTTATATTTAGGAAGGTACTTTTTCTTTAATGGTTACGAGTACCATTTGATTAACATTTAGTTACGAATACCACTTTAATAGCATTAACATCACTTCAATGGCATTAATATCATAATCGTACACAGGTTCTTCACTATCGGCCCTGCCTAACTGAAGGATATCATCGCGTTATGTTCTTTCCAAAGATCTATTTAGAAGCATTATGCTCAATAGGTGTTAAATATCAGAGACAAATGCTTTCACTCTATCACATAAGAAAGTTTTCAAACAGCTAACACTAGTATTGAAGTAACAGACAAGTTATGAATAAACAATGCATATAATTTCTAATAAATGACTTGAGGTAGGCTGCAAAAAATGTGGTTCCAGATACGAGGCACAGATATGCACTTAAAATGAAATAATGGAGAGTGACAGACCGCAAAGTTGGCAAATGGTAATACATTTCATAAAAAAAAAAAGAGGTCTTTGGGTGAGAAAGTGATAGATGATTGCCATGTACACTTTTCGAACTCTGAGATTTTAAGCTATTGTGTGGTATACGCTATTAATTTAAATTTTAGCTTCAACTATTTTGTAAAACTAGGAGATCCACAAGGGCAGACTTCGAGGAACACAGCCTGAGAAACGTTGTATTAACCGAATACGCCAATAACGCATTCATTTTCTTAGGTTTTCTACTTCGAATTGCCAATCACGTATTCTTATCCGTAAATTCAAGGGAAAATTCCCTAAGTTTTCATATGTTTCTTATCTCTTGGCACAGTGAGAAATCTCAGTCACTGGGTCATTTGTATTCTCAATGAAAATATACTGCTATCTTAACATTCAAGATAAGAACTTTAACAATGTGTTTATTACTACAGATAAGCTGGATTATTCGATAATCTTCATAAATACACTGAATACTTTAATAGTATATTGCGTTGTTTGTAAAACGTACTAACGATTTTTTTTTCAAGTTTGGTACACAACTGTAACTATTTATTACAAATTTATTAGTCAGTAACAAAACTTTAGGCTCATGTACTATTCTTGCAATATGTATCGCAGAAAGTGGCAACAAATACTTACGCTTCTCTATGTTCTCCCAATTGATGGTTAAATTATCATCTCTGTCAGATCTGTTGTGCTCGTGTTCAAATCCAATGGCATGAAGAAGCTCGTGTACGATTGTTCCAAAATAATGGCAACCAAGGCCTAAAGACACTTTCTGCTCTCCTGTGCCTTGTCTTCCCCAGAACGACCAGCATCTGCAGACAGAATTCAATGCTCGAATTAAATAATTCGAGGAATTTAACAAATTTTAGTTTATAATTTATCAGTAATTAGTAACAAATATGTAACTGAGAAATGCTCAAGGTCCAGATCGCTTCGTTATCATAATAGGAGGGAAAAACTGGATTAAAAAACAATGTTTGCATAGTAATAAAATCATACATCTTAGTATTAAGGTGCATAACTCTGTTTTGTTTTCAGTATTGTTCCTTTTATTGCTATTGTTTTAACGGAACTCTCCTGTCTATCATTAATACAGTACACTATCTGCTCCATAAGTTTAAAAAAAAAAAAAAAAAAAAAAAAATGAAAGTTTTCAGATTTTAAATTACGTTCAAAGGGTCAATTTTAACATTTTGTATGCTACCTTTATTTATTAAATATAATGTTTTTCTCACTTAAATCATAAAATTCAGTTCAAGAGCTGTATCGTAAAATAATTTTAAATTGAGTATATCTTCAGAATTTCCGATACACATTCTCACGCGCTGAAGATAAAAAAGTTTTTTTTTTTTTTTTTTTTTTCCCCTGTACAACGTTGCCACTGCTCGCTTTGAAAGCCTTGAGTTCGTTAATCAAAAATTCGTTAAAGTTTTACAAAACATATAATAAATATATAATAAAACAAATTCCAAATTTCAGATTTGGGCTTCCAGATGCCCATATTCGCAGTAGGATTACATCATTCAAAATTTGATGGCTCTAGGTACCGTTCTTTTATAACAATACGAGAAACATATATACATTTATGCAGATTCTTGATTATTTAATTTCTTCAAATATAATACACGGCGATAATATTTGGTGGCAACAGTTTGAAAAGCGAAACCGACATTCAGAGTGATTCGACGCAAAATCGCAAAACGAAAATAATAGTCCCTCAGGGAAAAAGCCCCTTTGGACTAAAAATTTTAAATTGCCCTTTACACAATAGGCAAACAGCATGAGTATTAATTTTTGAAATAACTTATACTATCTTTACACACGCACACACACACACACACCACACACATATATATATATATATATTCTTGACCACACAGGTCGTTTTTTGTTTGTTTTTCCTTTCTTAAATTATATATATGTAATGATTTCAAATATGCGTAGATGAAAACAGTGGAACTTTTAGCAGCTTTCGATATTGCGTAGATGACGGAGAAGACCGTAGTGGCTTGAAGATGGCAGAGTGGAAAGCCTGATGACGCAATTTAGCACAACGTATCTTGAAAAATCACAATCTTTATTTTTTTTACGTATATCAAATCATTCTTTTTTCAGACAAGATGTTTACTAATTATATTTGAATATATAAATTGCATTTTGAAGTAGAACGTCATCTTAAGTAAGTAAGCAGGAGCAGCATGGTTTAGGAGCGTTTTGCCAGCAGAAGAGCTATGCGGAAAAAAGGATAGAGTATCATAGAACTTCAGAGGTAGAAGGGTGGGAGTCGGAAAAGTTACAGTTCAGAGTTTTGGTTTACAATTAATTTGATTGGACAAGAGCCATCTGCATTAAAACGTTACGTTAAGATAGAAAAATCTGGAACCTGTGAGAAGAGATGAATTTAGGGGCAGATCACCAAATTTAGAATGTTAATTTTGAGGTCGCCAATTATTATTTTTTTTTTTTGAAACAGCTATCATATTTTGTTATATTTGACATATTCCACCTTCAAAAGAAAGGTTGGGAGAGGAGGATGGAAGAACAAGCATTAGCAGCAAAAAGTGAAAGATATAATTGTGAAAATACAAAACATATTAACTTTTAAACAAAAAATTACTGTCATAAAATTTTGACCGATATTTTGACTCAATTTGACATTTCATTGAAAGTCATAAAATTTGGAATCGAATTATTAATTTTAAGCACTATATTCTTTTAAAACAATAGCATATTTTATGGTTCTGAGGTAAGAATGTCCAATGAAATTTTGTAAAGTTCTTGACACGGTAAAAGTTCAAATTTTTTTTTAAAAGTAAATGTTCAAATAAAAGTCTTTCCAATTTTTGTCGATGAAAATATTTCTATTATAATACAAATTGAGATGCCAAATTTCATGTTATTTGTTAAAATTTCCATAACACTATAACCTCTTTTATTTTCTATTTCATTTGGGAATTTCATCTATCTGTCCTAAAAATAGCGCTTAAGTCTAAACTGCGTCATTCAAATTAATTATGCGATCTTACGTAACCTTTAATGCGGATTTCTCTTGACCAATCACCTAATTATAAACCAAAACTCAAAACTGAAACTTTTGCCTCCACCCTTCTTCCAGCTTTTCCTGGTCAGACGCTTTGCGGCTACCTTCTTTGTTCAAGGAATATGTGCTGATGTAACAAAAATGGGGAGTGCATAAGACACTCGTCCGTATGTGAACCAAATATTGCGAATCCCGACTTGCTTTTCTTCAATAATAAAGTTATCTTGAATCCGGACATGTCTGCCACGTTTCTCAGCTGCTCATCTATTACGCCACCGGCAAGCTCCAAATCATTCATTTTATATCATGCCATTTTGTGTACCTGCTGCCTAGAACTCCAATGGGAAAAGTATCTGCAAGTTCATCGTTCTTAAAGTTAGATATCATCGAGTATTCAAATATGGTGCTTACTTCATTTTGCAAATTTTTCAAAAAAAAAAAAAAAAAAAAAAAAAAAGGTGCGTGGAACTAATTTCCAATGCAGTGCTTCCAAAATTTGTGTTTTCATTACATATATATATATGTTACGGTGAAACACCGAAATCTGGAGAATGTCGACTTTCACCGGTGGATGTCAACATTTACATAGTCTCTTGGTGTATGTCCGAAATATTTTCCGAATACTCTTATTTCTGACTTACACCGGTGAATGTCGACATTCACCATGTATTAATGGTGAATGTTGAACATATAAGAATATTATATTTCCTTCTCCGTAATTCATTCGCGGAAAAACGCACTTGAGACTCAGAATAAGTTGCAGTAACATACTTTCGAACTTTCGGTGGAAAATTTGTTGCCGGCAATTCCCCATACAGTGCGAATTCATAACAATGCTCGAAAATCCTGATTCAGAGAAATATTCCTCAAACGTATGCGTAAACGGGAACGGTTTCTTCAACTAAGAAAGAATAGCAGTGTCAACATTTTTTCGCGAAGTCTTTTCTGTCTGGAAGACATTTAAGATCTAATTATAAGATCTTAAGAACATAAGAACTTAAAACACACAGTACATTCAAATTGAGAAAGGAAAATAATAGAAGTTATAAACTTACCAAATTATGTGATTCAAATCTTATTTATTGCAACAACTTTAAACTATTATGACACTTTGAATTGCACAAGAGGCCCTTGCTTTTACAACTGCATTTATTTGTGGAACACTTCCTTTTGGAATGGCAGCGTGTACATATACTCCTCTCTTTTCACCAGAGCATATCTGTGATCACAGATATGCTACACCAGAGCATATCTGTGAGGGTCCGAATGTACAAGAATGTAAAGAAATATTCGATCTTTCACCGATGTATTTGGTGAATGTTGACATTCTCCGGTGAAAGTCGACATTTTCCAATTTCGGTCTTTCACGGTAACATAAGATATAACAAAATGCGATGGCTGCTTTAAAAAAATATTTGGCAACCGCAAAATTAACTTTCTAAATTTGGTGTTCCCCCCCCCTAAACTCATCTGTTCATCCAAATTCGAGATCATTCCAAATTACATAACACTGCTTGAGAAAGGTAGCTAAAACTAATATTGACCAATCATAGCTTAGAATACTCTTCACCTACGAAGTGTAAATACTGAGTTACGAGCACTATGCTTCCTTTTTTTTAACTGACTTCTGCTATGCAAAGAACTCCGCGCCGCTTATGCTTCCCTGCCTGAAATGACGTCGTAGCTTTTTATCTGTATATATAAAAATTATTTGTATTCATCTATGATCGAAAAGTAATTTGTCTGCTAAAAAAATAACTTTTGATGTGCCTAAAAGTAAAGATGGTGATTTGCCGAAATTAGTTTTGTCAAGAAATTTAAAATTTAAAAAATTCCTTAAAGATTTTTTTTCTTTTATTTTCTTTAAGGATTTTTTTGAATTGGGGTATTGATTATTTAAAAGATTTGGTTTTTACATTTATTAAATTATTTGTTGCATTTATTAGATAATTTGAAATTTATTAATTATGAATTTCAAAATTTTCGTCTTTGTGAAACATTAGTTCTAAATTTCTTACTTATATATATATATATGCATATATATTTAAGTGCTGATTTTGTAATTTATAGCTGTCAATTGTATAAGGAAATAAAGTGTGATGCGTGATTGTTTAGTAAATAAATAAATAAAAAGGCTTCAGTTCCTTCAGAATTCTTCGATGATACGCTTCGGAACGCTTCGATGATAGCCAGTTTTCATGGTCTATGGGATAATACATAAGCAGCGGTTTTATGGTCTATGGGATAATACTTAAAGGCAGATTTTGCATGTTAAAATTTAGAAAAAGCCAAGAATGCACTACTTCTGTGAGGAGCATTTTGATTGCAAGTATCATATCAATACCATAGTCCTCTTATAGCAGGGGCTCCCAACGACGGGTGCTTGTGTCCTTTGGGGGACGGGAGGTGCGAAGAAGCATTCTAAGGGTGCGAGATAATATTTTAATTTTTTGTTTAAAATAAATAATTGTTTAAAAATTACACGGATGACGTTGGTGCATGTGCAAAAGATACATCTTGCACGTGCGTTGGTAACAGATTTGCCTCGCATGTTGTTAAAGTCAGTCGCATTTTGCGACTGATCGCATTTTGCAACAAAACGGACGATAGTTAATTCTGAGTGCGTTATGTAGTGATTCTGTGTGTCGGTGCCTTGCTTATTTCTCTTCTGAAAGAAAATGGGTTATAGTTTTTGAGAACGCATTTCGATCCTTTTTTATTTTCTTTCTTTTTTTTAGTCCAAAGGGATTTCAGTCCCGAAGGACTATTGCTTTCGTTTTGGCATTTTGCGTCGGACTCATAAACGTCGGTTCACTTTTCAAACTGTTGCCACAAAATGTTAGAGTCCTGCATTATATTTGAAGAAATTAAATAATGAAAAATCTGCATAAATGATTGTCTATTTCTCGCATTGTGATAAAACAATGGTACATAGAGCCATCGAATTTTGAATAACGTAATCCTCCAACGAATATGAGCATGTGGAAGACCAAATTTGGAATTTGTTTTATTATAGATTTTATATTTTGTAAAACTTTAACGAATTTTTGATTTACAAACTCAATGCTTTAAAAGCGAGAAATGGCAACGTTATATAGAAAAAAAATACTTTTATCTCCAGCTCGCGAGACTGTGTATATCGGAAATTCTAAAGATATGCTTAATTTAACATTATTTTGCGATATTGCTCTTGAACTGAATTTTATGGTTTAAGTCCAAAGAACATGATATTTAATAAATAAAGGTAACACTCAATACGTTAAAAAAACGCCCCTTTGGACGTAATTTAAAATCTGAAAAATTTCAGATTTTTTTTTTTTGGGGGGGGAGGGAGGCGTATTATCATTCATAATGTAAAATTTCTTTAAACATTAGGTTTAAAAAATATAAATCCAGTTTTGAAAAATTGCTTCACCTCTTCGAAATATATTGTTATCAACAAACACCGTGTGTTAAACTTTTAGTTCAGTAGCCGATCAGGAAGTAATTTAACAATAGGCGACAAAATTTTAACCACAGTGACAGACACAACGAGTGAACTAAATAGAAAGCTTATAAAAGGATACTGCATTTACTATGTTTATCACTGACTTATCTATCTTATTACGTTGACTTAATAGTTATTTTTGAGACGAGCTTTTATGACAAATTTTAATCTTCATATACTTTTTTATGAGGAGACTTTCTAAACGTTAATAAGGGATCATTTATAAATGTGAAATTATAGAACATTAGTTTTACCCATTTGCTTGAACTATTCTGATATAATCTTTGTGATGAGGTTCCTTGGGAAAAAATCGGATACAAGATCGTTCTTCGATGTGACGCATGGCTCTCATCAACAAATTCCAGATGGGATCTGAAAAAGAATTGAGAAAAGTGAGGCCGTGTTTTGAAGCTAAATGAAGAATAAACTTCTTTTCGTCTTCATCCAAACCTTTAGAGAAAGAGCAAAAGCTCTGCTTTACGTACATAGTTCTTCGTCTACTACGTAAGGGACATTCGCATTTGGCCATCTGTTAACGTCTCTTGGGATAGCATTTCTGTCCTGTAAGAATAATAAAAACTTATTATTATTTACGTAGTCTTTTTTACTGTAATAAACGGAATTTCACTGGCAATAAAAACCATTCTAAAAAATTCTGGGCATGCCTTAATAAGCTGTGTTTGTAGTGAAAATAGGAAATTTACGAATGACGTTTGGTCAGAAGGAATTACTTGCAGGCCTTAAGGACTTAAACGGCAGTTGTAATATTTTAGTGAAGGACATTAAGTTTTACTTTCAAAGACAACTCAAAGACTTACATTTCGTCAAATTTTATTGTATCTGGGACATTGTTGGTTATTACGGAAATGAGAGGGCAGATCCATTGGACAAAGAAGCTTTCACGAGAGAAGCCGGAATGAAGCCAATGTCCAGGATAAAATAAATAAATAAAGCTTTACGATTATGAAAAGAACATACAAAAAGATGTGGCAAAATGAATGGATGGCATCAGAGAAAAGGAAAGATTATTTGCTAAATTTGGCTTTTCACTCAACATGGCCGCTATCCGGAATACCTTGGTCAATTTAATTTGTAACAACTATGAGAATTGTAGAATTTTTGGCGACAGCAGAGAGAGACATATGAATGAACAAATTTTTAACTAGGAAATAAACAAACCAAGATGATATATACATGGACGCATAATTTCGGTTTCTTACCGCACCAGGGATTAGTTGTCTATTTAATCAGCTAAATTCATTTTAAGCCGCATTGTCCTTATGTATTTTGACAGCTGGTATTTCAAGGCTTATTTGTAAACAATTTTGTTTGATTCTAGGAAGTTGTTTCGAGTCTCATCAAATATGAAAACTCTAAAGGCATATATTGACTCTTTATTAATGCAGAGGTCAGAATGTAGTTCAAACAGGAAAAAAAAGTTGTGTGACATGTATGAAGAAGACGTGTTGACAAAACGGCAGTGTCAAAACCTCCTTCACAAAATTTCATTGTGGTAATTTCGATACTGAAGATGCACTACATTCTGGAAGATCAGTTGAAGCTAATAAAGGCAAATTAAAATGTACTGATAGAAATAAACTGCTGTATAACAACACGAGAAATCGTTAAGAGATTTAATTTGTCTAATTAATCATTTATGATCACATGAAATGATATGGTTTTATTTCAAAGCTCAATATATGTGGTCGGCAAGTTCTTAAAGAAAAAGACTTGATCCTTTGTACTATCTTTTGCCTTTTCAAACGTCAAGAAAAGAATCCATTTTTGATGCAAATCATAAGTGGTGACCAGAAATGGTTTATTTATAACAACTGAGAAGGCACGTGATCATGCAGTAGCAGAGATGAGGTGCTCAAAGCACTTTGAAAGCCGATATTCATAAAAATGTGTATGTGTGTGTGTGCGTATACACATAAACTGCTTATTTAAAAATTAATTAGCCATTTTATAGAAAATAATAATTTTTATTCTCTTGTAAATTATTGTGTGTAGAATAGTGTAGGGCGAATATGACTATGTTCAAATAACTCTCATGGTTGCGAAAATCCATATAAACTTATTCTGTTTTACTTGTCTTTGAAAAGTTACTTTTTCTAAATGAAGACCCATTGCATTAAAAAGGTGATTACGTATGCCACATATTGAAAACAACTCACCATATTCGGGTCGATTCCCATAATGTCACCTTCAAATAGACCTTCATTCTCCATCGGGTCCTTCCTCACTTTAAACAAAAATGAATATAATTACAATCAACAATATAGTACTAAAAGCAGGTATAGATATAAATTTATGATAATAAAAGCCACAGTTATCGTGAAAGAGTATGATTCCCAAAATCAAGCCACAGTTCAAATAAAAAGGTAAGAACTTCTTTTGTATAAAGTATAAGATAATTTTTTTAATTAAAAATTAGAATATCAATAATTATAATATAGACCGAATAATATCGGTCTTTTGCATAAGAGATTTCAATCTTGCTTGCACGAAATAGTCCATTACCGATTATAAGATTTATAATTATTTGATTCATGACTTTGGACCTTGTCCTCAGTGCAAGCTTTCTGAGAGTATTTTGTGAGAGATTTGCTTTATGCCAAAATATACTCTGTAACATAAAAAGCGGAGCATCAGTAAGGAGTTATCCGAATGGGATGCAATAGTGTAAGCCCATTCCTCACAATAAAATATGCAAATGTTTAAATTTTGGCGCCGAGAGACTGAATAGCTTGAGCTCCAGCGCACTGCCACAGAGCATTCGGATGGTGTATAAAACAAAGGATATTCGAATGCCAAGAAATGGCTTCCATGCAAATATGGTTCCACGTGGACTGTACTAATGCTTCGGAGACCGGTTATCGAACAGAATTCAAACTCGGGACCAATTATAGCACCGAAACATGCGGTAAGGAACAATAAAATTCCTTACGCATTTTTCATTAGTCTTTCGCTTTTAATAATACGTTCAAACTTTTCGATACTTCCAACATTGAACATCGAAATATTCGGGGACATCATGTGATTTAGACAACAAATCAGTTTTCTTCTGTTTGCTAAACTGATTTGAAATCTTTCATATAATTCCTAGTGACACACATAGTATCTTCATTTTGATGATGTTTGACGACATAAATCGAACGCATTTAAAAGCGAAACCATTTGCAGTTCCTTGAAGAAAGATTGTTTTAGAACTATTGTCTCTCTTTGTCCATTACTTTCTTGCGAAATTGTCTCTGGTCTTCAACCTGAAATCCACAGGAACAGCAAAACGAACTCACAGAGTGAGGAATATTGGTGGAGTGTACTTAATGCCATCTCTAGGGTTAAAATCAAAATCAAATATTAAATACTCGTGATTCATTATCTACTAAGAATTTCCTTTAGAAGAGCGTTTCGACTGAATCAGTTGCTTATGAATTTTAGCGACTGAATCATAAGCGACTGAATCAGTTGCTTATGTATTTTTCACTCGAGTTTCTTAATCCTTTTTTATTATTATTATTATTTTGGAGCATCATTTTATTATAAGATTTTTAAGCCTAGATCTTAATTCGATAAATAGTTCATGTCTTCAATTTTCAGAGGGGTTTCAAGAGTAGAAATATTCTATTTTTAAAGTAGGACTACGTTCCTGAATGACGGTCTCAGGGATAAAAAAGTTTTAAAGACGCAAAACATGTCTTAGTAGAATACTTCATCTCAATAACTCCTAAAGCTATAGTTTTCGTTTATGGCTTATTTAATTATTAAAGGAGATCATTACAAAAAACATTAAACATTTTTTAAAACCGGAATAGTGGGTGAACCCAGTAGAGCCTGTAAAAATACACAATATTTCGATGACGTCACAAGGGTTCGAGCGTAAATTAGGTATAACACAGTTCAGTTTAATCTTAAATCCATAGGCAAGCGGTTGTGGGAGCGACGTACTGATTATTCTTGTGACAAAAATAATTATAAAATGTCGAAAAATAAAGTTGTACTAAGAATACAGGACAGGAGACAAGATGCAAAATTAAAGAACGATTTATTGAAAGAAGATTATAAAGAATATTTAGCTATAAAATGGAAAGAATTCAACAAACGATGTTATGAAAATAATAAAAAAGAAAATAAGATTAACTAAAGTTGTTACTTTTCAAATAAATCAAGGTTCTTCAACTTCTTGTGCTGTTGCCAATAATAAATTGCAAATTTGAGTATAACTTTACCAGATTATAGTGGGGATATTCTTTAACATTGTTTGTCAGATTAAAAAAATTGATCAGTTGCGTACACAATATTTAAAAACCTTTGGAATGAATGTAACAGAGAGCTTCCCGTCAATTTTTATCGACGAACCTTCATTTCCATGATTATCCGTCACAACGGTTTTTCAAAATTATGATTGATATCCTTTTCGAACTGTTTTAAAGCTTGATAAAGCATCACTTTTGATATTTTACTGTTTTTGATATGCAACGGTTAAACGCAGCAATTTTGCTTCCTTTGGCATCTTGGTTATAAATATGTACTGTTCAGTTTTTAAGAGCTTTCGTTAAATAAGTTGCCATTTTATAAATGATTCTAGCATTTAACTGAAATTACTATTGCTTTGGAGGAAATGAATCGTTGTTACCACGGCAACTTGAAAATTTGCATATTTGCTATTGTTAGCCCATACCTAATCAATGTGCTTGTCTCATATTTATCCGTGTTAAGGTTATTTAGATTATAACATTAAACACATGAATTCTATCTGCCAGAAAAGAAGGATGTATTCAAGGAGAAATGTTATTTATCCGGGTTAAGGTTATTTAGATTATAACATTAAACACATGAATGCTATCTGCCAAAAAAGAAGGATGTATTCAAGAAGAAACGTTATTTATCCGGGTTAAGGTTATTTAGATTATAACATTAAACACATGAATGCTATCTGCCAGAAAAGAAGGATGTATTCAAGAGAAACTTATTTATCTGGGTTATTATTTAGATTATAACATTAAACACATGAATGCTATCTGCCAAAAAAAGGATGTATTCAAGAAGAAAACGTTATTTATCCGGGTTAAGGTTATTTAGATTATAACATTAAACACATGAATGCTATCTGCCAGAAAAGAAGGGATGTATTCAAGAAGAAACGTTATTTAATCCGGGTTAAGGTTATTTAGATTATAACATTAAACACATGAATGCTATCTGCCAGAAAAGAAGGATGTATTCAAGAAGAAACGTTTTTTAATCCGGGTTAAGGTTATTTAGATTATAACATTAAACACATGGATGCTATCTGCCAAAAAAGAAGATGTATTCAAGAAGAAACGTTATTATTTATCCGGGTTAAGGTTATTTAGATTATAACATTAAAAACATGAATGCTATCTGCCAGAAAAGAAGGATGTATTCAAGAAGAAACGTTATTTATCCGGGTTAAGTTATTTAGATTATAACATTAAAACACATGAATGCTATCTGCCAGAAAAGAAGGATGTATTCAAGAAGAAACGTTTTTTATCGGGTTAAGGTTATTTAGATTATAACATTAAACACATGAATGCTATCTGCCAGAAAAGAAGGATGTATTCAAGAAGAAACGTTATTTATCTGGGTTAAGTTATTTAGATTATAACATTAAACACATGAATGCTATCTGCCAGAAAAAGAAGGATGTATTCAAGAAGAAACGTTATTTATCCGGGTTAAGGTTATTTAGATTATAACATTAAACACATGAATGCTATCTGCCAGAAAAGAAGGATGTTTCAGAAGAAACGTTATTTATCTGGGTTAAGGTTATTTAGATTATAACATTAAACACATGAATGCTATCTGCCAGAAAAGAAGGATGTATTCAAGAAGAAACGTTATTTATCCGGGTTAAGGTTATTTAGATTATAACATTAAACACATGAATGCTATCTGCCAGAAAAGAAGGATGTATTCAAGAAGAAACGTTTTTTATCCGGGTTAAGGTTATTTAGATTATAACATTAAACACATGAATGCTATCTGCCAGAAAAGAAGGATGTATTCAAGGAGAAATGTTATTTATCCGGGTTAAGGTTATTTAGATTATAACATTAAACACATGGATGCTATCTGCCAGAAAAGAAGGATGTATTCAAGAAGAAACGTTATTTATCCGGGTTAAGGTTATTTATTATAACATTAACACATGAATGCTATCTGCCAGAAAAGAAGGATGTATTCAAGAAGAAACGTTATTTATATCCGGGTTAAGGTTATTTAGATTATAACATTAAACACATGAATGCTATCTGCCAGAAAAGAAGGATGTATTCAAGAAGAAACGTTATTTATCCGGGTTAAGGTTATTTAGATTATAAACATTAAACACATGATGCTATCTGCAAAAAAGAAGGATTTATTCAAGAGAAATGTTATTTATCCGGGTTAAGGTTATTTAGAAGATTATAACATTAAACACATAGCTAAAATCTGCCAAAAAGAAGGATGTATTCAAGAAAAACGTTATTTATCCGGTTTTAAGGTTATTTGAAGAAGATTATAAAGAATATTTAGCTATAAATGGAAAGAATTCACAAACGATGTTATGAAATAATAAAAAGAAAATAAGATTACTAAAGTTGTTACTTTTCAAATAAATCAAGGTTCTTCAACTTCTTGTGCTGTTGCCAATAATAAATTGCAAATTTGAGTATAAACTTACACCAGATTTATAGTGGGGATATTCTTTAACATTGTTGTCAGATTAAAAAATTGATCAGTTGCGTACACATATTTAAAAACCTTTGGAATGAATGTAACAGAGAGCTTCCGTCAATTTTTATCGACGAACCTTCATTTCCATGATTATCCGTCACAACGGTTTTCAAAATTATGATTGATATCCTTTTCGAACTTTTTTTAAAGCTTGATAAAGCATCACTTTTGATATTTTATACTGTTTTTTTTGATATGCAACGGTTAAACGCAGCAATTTTGCTTCCTTTGGCATCTTGGTTATAAATATTACTGTTCAGTTTTTAAGAGCTTTCGTTAAATAGTTGCCATTTTATAAATGATTCTAGCATTTAACTGAAATTACTATTGCTTTGATGGAAATGAATCGTTGTTACACGCAACTTGAAATTTGCATATTTGCTATTGTAGCCCATACCTAATCAATGTGCTTTTCTCATATTTATCCGTGTTAAGGTTATTTAGATTATAACATTAAACACATGAATTCTATCTGCCAGAAAGAAGGATGTATTC